AACTCACCCGATTGCCACTCCGCCCCTGCACGCCATTAAAAAATATAGCCTATATGAATCGATTTTTGGAATTCTATGAATCGATTCTGAATCGGTAAAGATTGAATCGCGATTCAAATGTGAATCGATTTTTTTGCACACCCCTATTATATGAGCTGTTACTGTAAACTAAAGCCTTGTTTATACTCGACGCGTCCGCATGAGCCCAAAAGCGCGCACAGCAAAAACGACATGATTGTAACAGCGCACTCTTCGCGATCAACTTAGATTTTCCAAGATCGACGGGTTAGTGATTCCTGTAACATACTGTTTTACGGTCATGAAATATTCGTAAATATACGAGTAAATATGAGAGTGATTTGCGCGAAAAGACACCTTCCCGAAAACTCTTCACAAATACTTTGTAAACGTCAGATATGATAGTGAAATGTGTGTGTGTTAATGAATTCCAACCTGTCGGAAATGGGATGTGCGTGCACGTTAATTCTCAATTACCATAAATCCCACCCATTATATCCGACTGACATCTATATATAGGCATATAATAGCGTGAATGCGAATGAAAAAGAAAGATTTCTCGGGTGCAGAAATTTAAGTTTTATTATCAGAACTTCATTCAAAACGCCACATTTTATTTTCAAGCGTACATAGTGGCCTATCAGGTCCTAAAAAAAGGAAGCTTGGCAGCATATTACAGATGCAGTTAATGAAGTTTCATCTGTGAATCGAACAGTCCCAGAAGTGAGAAGAAAATGGTTCGACATTAAGCTTGACAGCAAAAAACTTAATTAGTTCACTTCGGAAAAATCGTATTCAATCTGGAGAAGGACCGCTATCGATCACCAGATCTGCTATCACTGGCTCTCATAATAAAAGTAAAAAGAAAAACCGTATGTAATTACTATATAAAATGTCTTTTTTCAAATGCAGCCTTATTAATGCGCACCATTTACGCGTGGCTGGGAGCAGGTGTAGATTTCTTGCGTACCAACTAACATTTGGAAAATACGAACATTTTAATGAATCCGAAAATTTACACCAGAACCACTTTACACACAAATTCGTTCTGCTCGTGTTTCATGAATGAGACCCATTGACATGAGTACTAATCAGCTGTCTCACGAACGTAACCAGCACATTTATTCCCACATAGTCAAAGTCAAAGTCATAACACAGCGAGGGAGAACTAAGTTACATGAAACAATCCAACTACATATTTTACACCAGCTTACAAACGCGTTCTGTAGCACTGTTTGTTCGCGTTCGACTACGGTAGAAACATGACATCACAATATGTCAAGCTTCACAGAAGGGGATTCCCGTGGTTATGTAGATATAAATGTCTCATTCTAAGGTATTAAAAACATTACGGTTTATTGAGTAAGTTCTTTATAGACCACTGAATACATAGTTATGGATGTCATATTGCATTTCTGTTAATAGATACTCAACATTTTTACACATTGCACCTTTAATGATCTTATTGTTGTCTCGTTATCGTCTCATCTTAGTCGTGGGGAAAAAAAGCATAGGCTGTTATTCTGTGTTTTCAGCTGCAGTTATTTGACCAGTACTAATCCCCATCCAGTTTTTTTTTTCTTTCAAAATGTCAGTTACCTTTTTATAATAATTACAAAATAATAAACAAAATCGTGATAATTTAGTGGTTGCGTAAAAATAAATAAGTCTTTTTATACCTGGAAACCAGCTACAGTATATCTACAGCATACTCTTGCTCTTCTCTTGATATTGAGACTTTAAAAGCCAAACAAATACTAGCAAGACAAGACAAATATGTATCAACATTGGAAGATATCCATGGGTGTTTCATTTGAATGGATGCAACTTCTCACACAGCTGTGATGCCTGTGCACATGGGAAACGGCATCAGCCATATTCCTGGCATCAGGAGACCGTTAGTAGTTTGATATCCTTAACACTTCACAGATACTGTCTCCGGTTTTTGAACGACTGTAAAGTTTATATAAAGGCAGGATGCAATAACTTGTCCTTTATAACTTGGTAACAGTAAAACAGACAGGAATTGCATGATTTTGCAGCTGTATTTTATTCATTTCAGGCTTTTGAATTCTTTTTTGAATTTTATATTTTAATGTTGAAATGCTTCAAATCATCTTCATGTTCTGTTTTACTACCCCCCCCCCCCATTTTCCCTATCCCTATTAAAAACACGCCACTTTTTCCACTTTTTCCAGCTCTGACAGATTTAACATCTGCACAAAGGGCAGCATGTCAGACTGTGAGTTTCAGAGCCGAGCAACTGTAAAAAGTTAAAAGACGTTGTCCTTTGCTGGCTTCTGTTACCATTCGGACTTGATGGATTAATAAAGAAACTGAGACAAGACACTGGGAAGGTTTCTCCATCTGCATCTCTAGGGCAGGCCTCTATCCATCATGTCTCATCTCATTCTCTCTTCATTCTGACTTTCTCTCTCCTCTGCTTGGCCTCAGTGTTGGCCTGTACAGAGAGTGGCTTACAATAAGATTAGGCCTCCCAGCAGAGACCAATGAATAGAGCATGTTTGGGACCTTTGACAACTTTTTAAAGGTAGCATCATCAATCACGGCTCTTTTTATTGTCCATAGTTTGATTCATTCATCAAGATCTTTTTTTCCACAGCTATCCCACGTGAAACAATGCAGCAAAGACGTTTTTGTCGAAGAAACGACCTACAAGTTTAATCGCATGTAGTTAAGGTGAACATGAGTTGTGGTTTGTCATTTTGTCATCCTGACAGAGATATTAGGTAAACAGAATAAGATAACGACGACTCAACCATCTTGGATTCACATGAAATGGATTTATTAATGATCGGCAGTGCTGATTACACAGTGTCGTTTTTATTAGACTCATGGATCTGGGAATGTTTGTTATGGTTATGTCTTTCAAACCACAAGACATGTCATTTATGAGATACTGAGAGTCAGGACTCGTGGATGCTGCCAGTTGTGGTTATACGGTGAAGCTGTGTACCAAAATGACTTGTTAAACTTTTCCTTATGTGGATGAACTTGATTTTGGCCATTTGACTTATGTACTTTTTTGCCGTTTGGCAGATTTGGGATGCTTATTATGATGTGATGTGTGAACATTATCTCTGTTCCAAAACCTAGTGCCTCATTGTTGCCTCATTAGGCAGCATTTTAAGGTAGGCTTATTGCTACCTTAAAGATATGCAACTTTATTGCTCTGCCTTATATAATTCCTTCTTTTGGCCAAATTCTAAGCTAGCATTGCATTTATTTTTTACTGTGAGGGCAAATCCATAATGCATTTAAAAGTTAATCCAAGATGGCAACTATAATAAATAAAAGTCATTCAATACTGGAAAGTATTGATAAAGTATATTTTAAAATACATATCACTATCACGTCACATCACTTGTATTGCGAGTGAAGTCTTCTGTGCACTTTGCATTTGTGTGGCACACTGATTTCCTGCCTAAGTGACATTCCAAATGAAATGGGTTTTCAAACTTGGGTCCTAAGATCCACTGTTGGGATCTAGGGGGTCTGACGAAAAAGTCATAAAAAGTTATGAAAAAAAGACATATTTGAAAAGACATATATAAGATTTATAAAATAACTTTATATCAGGTCATTTGTAAAAACATGTTTTTATAATTGTGTTTTTTTTTCCACACACAGTATAAAATGTGTATTTATTAGTGCTGTCAAACAATAAAAATTTTTAATCGCATTAATGTCGTAGTTAACTCGCAATTAATCGCACATTTTTATTTATTCTAAATGTCTCTTGATTTCTTTTTGTCCCATTATGTTTTTTTCTCATTTTAATGCTCTTATCAACATCTCTTTTTATTAAAAAACAACATTGGCATAGACTGTGTTCAATTCACACATTCTCACTTGGAGCAAATAATCTCTCACACAATGTAACACTGTCCATCAATAAAACAGTGAAAGAAATACTGACAAGGTCCTTAAATTGACGAGGGGGCGGAGAAGTCGCATCAGCTGTGTGTGTGTGCTTGGCCATCATCAAGTGCTGTTTCAGACTGGGCGTGCTGTGACGATCGCTCAGTTCACAACGACAAAACACAGATCACTTTGGTCTTGTCAATGGAACCATTTGGCAACTATTTAAAAGTAAAGTTACCATTCAGAATCTTATTGGCATCTTATTTCGGCGTCTCGCGCTCGTCGTCCACTCAAAACGTAACGTTAACCTACTAACGTTATTTGCCCGGCTCGCAACAAGTGTGTGCGGCGTGCCTGTTGTTTTGTTTCCGGTCTAACTAGACCGGTCTTGCTCTTTGTTCAACGAAGCAACAAAATGTCCTCACATGGCGCAAGCCAATGAAATGAATTGGTTTCATAGCGCACCGCAATGCATGCCGCGTCCTGTTGCAAAAGCATGTGAAAAATTATAAAGTTTGCAAGGCCAAAAAGGCCGTTAATCGCACGATAAAAAAATTGACACCGTTAAAATGAGTTTGCGTTAACGCTGTTAATAACGCATTTAACTGACAGCCCTAGTATTTATACTTGGAAATATACAGTATAGCTGCCTTTTATATTTTCTAAAGAAGGTCCCTTTCAAGCAGATCATAAAACATTTGTGGGTCTTTGACATCAAAAAGCAAAAAAAAAAAAAGCCTGTCTTGTGAGATTCCATTTCAGGTAGGATACTGGTGGGGCGGAAGAGAAACTGGGAGCTCAGGTCAGTCAGCGAATTGAATCTTACCACTCCAAAACTTCACAAATTCTTAGTTCTTTATCACTCAACACATTATGCTTGTGTTCCCCCACCATAAAACCTCCATCTTGGACAGCATGCCGAGAGCTGATCTCACTTTCATGGACCGAGCATAGCAAATATTTTCTTTGAGCAGAGGAACCCTCACAGTTACCTTCAAAAACGAAGCCACAAGATCACAGTGGAAGCTGAAAGAGCTTTTTAAGAAGCTGAGAGTGCTGTTTTCAGATTTCAGATTTCTTTCTTTTGTTTTTTATAGACGCCATAAAGCATCTAATCGGTATTCTCGCCGCCCAGGCCGCAGTGCTGCTTAGTGGATCTTGGCTTTGATATGGCGTGGTACATCTGGAATGAATGTGTGCTTGTGACAGTCGTTTGCTGCACGGTCCCACATTAAACATCGGTGGCAGGAATTCCCAGACGACACGAAGAAATGATCTAAAGCCCTGCAGACTGTGTGACCAAGATGAGCGGTGAACGCTTTACACCTCTGGTTGCATTCTAGATACTTTTTTCGCATGTCAAGACACAAGACAGATTTGTTTTGAAAAAAATATGCTTTGGGTCTGAACAAATGTCTTTGTTTTGAAAAGGAAGGAAGTTGCATTTACAGACGCGAATTGATGTCAGTGCAGTCATGTGTTATGAATGATGGCGAGATGTAGAACTCGATAATTTTCTACAGAGTATCGAAGGAGACGACAGATTGAGCACATGGTGTTTTCACAACACGGAGGAATTTAGCGTATTAAAAATGAGATGTAATGTAATGAAACTTTAATGGTAGTCTAGATAGAACGTTCAACAAACACATTATCTATCTGTAAGGTCTCATTAGCTAGAAGAGAACGTAGTCTTCCTGCAAGTGAAGCTGTAATTTAGTTGTTTTGTGAAGAGTTCTAGGGTAAAACTTGGTAACTTTATACTTGGAACAATTTTGACCCCCATCTTGTGCTCTTTTCTTTTTTTTAATTTCAGCCGCTATGAACATATCTTTCTGTATGAATTTGATTAATACCAGAAACTATGCAGATACAGGGTCAGATTTGCTTGATTTTGTGACTGTGCCTATTATCAGTGTATTTCAGTTCACAGTGAAACATGACTTGTGTTTTTTTGGTTTGAATGGGACATGTTTGTTGACTGCAGACACTCTTGTCCTTAACCATAATCGTCCCATATTTAGCTCTGCATCAAGCAAAAAATTACCATTTGTAACTTAAAACAGGGTTAGCATCACTTTTAACCCATGGTTATGAACCTGATTACAGTCCTAATGCTGAAGTTCAGTTCTATGAGAATGTTACTGCAAATTGTTTAGCAAATGACTACCAATCATAAAATAAACAGTTCTTATCTCATTAAATATTCATGTTCTTTGTACAAAAACAGATACTTTCACATGCAATGTTTAGTTTTAACATCTGTGCAAAAATAAAAATGTCAAACAGTGATGGTAAGCCCAAACTTGAGAAAAGAAGAGAGGGCATTATTTGTTTTTTTGCTTGCATGCTGACATTTTCACAGATGGAAAAGCTGTTATTGAAGCAACTATTTGTCCAATCAAAGTTGTTTACCTCTTAAATAAGAACTTTACAGATGTCCAGTGTGAAATCTTAAAAAGTATGGTCACATTTACTGTTATTATTTCTCAGGTGAGATCCAGTCATTTCAAAAATTTCTCAGATTTGCAACCGGTTCGAGTTGCTCATCTAAATTCCCCGTGCTGATCAACAGAAAACGGTTCAGTGTGGTGTTTCATATATCATTATGCCTGGTTCAGATTACACGATTTTTTTTTGTCTGTTACGATAGTCACTGTGTCAGATTACGGGATTTTGGCTCCTAAAATCTTGCCGTGTCGTGGACAAGACACATGTCAGACTACACGTTACTTCCTGACCAGTCATCGCATGCCGTGTTTAACGGCGCGCTTTATGTCGCCGAGAAGGCGAAACTCGTAGCGAGTGCTCGGCATTGCGTGTGAGTGTGTGAACTGGTTGAATTGCGTGTGTCTCACGGCCATTGCGTGAGACTTGAGAACCCTGCTCGAAGAGGACAGTATGGGCTGTCAATCCTCCAAAGAGAACTTGAGGTAAAATATTGTTTTCTTATATATTTTTACTTCTAGTTTTAACGTTAGCACCATCGTCTCTCTTTCGTTTTGTCTTTTTTAAAAGTTTTATGCGGAAAAGCTTGTGCTCCTATTAGTCAACCTCATACATGTGACGGAATCGTCGTGGACGACCGTGCTAGTTAAAGAAGAACTCCGGCGAACAATGAACCTTTGGTCTAATAAAACATCGGTACTTACTCAACCGTTCTCTGAGATTTGTTTTCATGATAATCGAATGTAAAGAGTTTTATCTCTAAAAACTGTTTAGCGTATAATGCTAGTAATGGGGGCATTCACTAAGTAAAAAGAAATCGCTAGTTTATACCACGAACAAGGCTCAAAATAGCCCCACATTAACACAGTAACATAATGAGGCTCCATACATGCAAAACGAAGCATTAAGAACTTTGTAAGTGTACAGACCGTTTAATAAGAAGAAACTTTATGAAGACAGTTCACTTTGCGTATACAGACAGGAGCCATCTTAAAAAATAGTCTCGATAAGTCGATCCCTGAACGCCGTTCATACAGTTCAGAAGTTCGCTGAACTTCATACAGTTCAGATCACTCAGCACGACGTTCGTGGTTTGACTTATCGAGACTATTTTTTAAGATGGCTCCTGTCTGTATACATGAAGTGAACTGTCTTCATAAAATATCTTCTTATTAAACGGTCTGTACACTTATAAAGTTCTCAATGCTTCGTTTTGCATGTATGGAGCCTCATTATGTTACAGCATTAGTGTGGGGCTATTTTGACCCTTGTTAGTGGTATAAACTAGCGATTTCTTTTTACTTAGTCAATGCCCAAATTACTAGCATTATACGCTAAACAGTTTTTAGAGATAAATCTCTTTCCATTCGATTATCATGAAAACAAATCTCAGAGAACGGTTGACTATGTACCGATGTTTTATTAGACCAAAGGTTCATTGTTCGCCGGAGTTCTACTTTAAACATGCTAGTCTTTTTGTCGTGAAGCTTCGCAGACGCGACGTAGGTTGTCGCCCACTATGACAGACTATACGAGATGATACGATCGAATATTGCGTCCCGACGCCGTTGTCGTTTACGAATCCCCACGACACCCTATGTCAAACGGATCGTGCCAAAATCCGCCTAAAATCGTATAATCTGAACCAGGCTTTACACTATTTACATTAGACAATGTTCCATTTTTTGCTGCCAAATGCACCTTACCCCTTTAGTAAAGGTATAAACAGTGACCTTTGCTCAGCGTTAGAATGGCTCTTGGTTAACAATAGTGTGTAAAGCCCAATAGTGGAAATGAAAGTAGTGAAATGTAATCATCTGCCTTACCACCTTACCTTTCCTGTGGATTAGATGCTATCAGGTTATGGGAGTCCCCCCCCCCATAACTTCAGATTGTATCCAGATGTTCACACTGATTTCATTCTGATGGAGAGTCTGTGCTCAAACAATGACATCCAGATTGTCTGACATTGTTGCTTACACTCAGTTGTAGGTTTTGGCAAGGGAAAAATGCAAACTAATGAGATATTTCATTAAATAATAAAATAAAAAATGTAAGATGAAAGAAATGGTAGATCAAGGAGTTTTTTTTTTATTTTTTTTATTATTATTATTAGTAATATCAGTGTACAAAACAAATCAAACCATATGGAATGTGCAGATGTGGACCATTTTGCAAGTATCAGACTTGTCCTTGGATGATTAAACTCCTTCAGTCAATGGGTTCTATATGAAGCTATAGGGAATCTAATTTAGAGTGAAAGTGATTATTTAATGGTGGAGCTTACTCTCACTTGCCAGGGATGTGTTGACCCACCTGCCATGTTTTTATGACTTTTAATGCTAGATCTCTTAAAAGGGTGAAAATATCATTCCTTCACCCACACATTCTCAATCCCTTAGTATTACTTTTAAAGCAGTGTTGCCTAACTCTGCAGGAATGTGTATGGTCTGCCTGTAAACTTCTCTTAACGTCTTCATGCAGGCAGTAATATTTCCCTAGAGCTCTCTCCACATCATGGGGAAAGTGAGTTTGCCATGTGGTGTGGAGGCTGCAATTTCAGCTGGCAGTTCCCTTTGTAACCAGCCCCGATATCTGTTTTTAAGGGTGAAAGAATGATTCCCTCCTATCGTATTTTACCCCCGTGCACACTGTTCTGGCATGGCTGTCATTGTGGGTGACAGCAAGAGCAAACTGGAGCTCTGTTAATGCTGGCCTTATTGGTAACTTAACTTGTTAAACACATTGGTTTGGATTATGAATCCATGATGCTGGACTGGGGCGGGAAGGTTAACTAATGCCCCAGAGCAGTCCATTGAGTGAGTAGGCAACAACCGTACTGTGCAGCAGCATGTGGTTTCCATTCAGAGCCAGAGAAGCTTAGAGATTTAGGAGATCTTTAGTCCAGCCACTCTTTAAACACACACACTGATTTTAGTAGGGCTGTATTCAACCAAAGAAATCCTTAGTCGACCAAAGTCGAGTCCTGCTCGACGATTAGTCGACTAAAAAAAAAAAAAAAAAAAAAAAAACGTGATGTTTTGATTAAACATTTTTTAAACAATTGTCATTGAGCATTTATAAAACAACAACGAAAAAACATCACAAATAAATAAAACTATAATAATAATACAATTCTTTGAAAGTTAAGTGATTTTTTAACTGCAAAAAGTGAAGAGCTCTGTCCTAGGTCTATAGTACAGTCCCACTCGCGCACCTGACCACACCACACGCTGCAAAAAATATAACTGCTATCTGCCACATAATGAAAAATTCCAACAAAAGCTCTCGTTTATACAGGCTTTATATTCTTCTTTACTTTCAAAGCTATGGGTTAACTTTAGTCCTGACGATCAAGGCGTTTTAAACAACACTCAAAAAAACCCAAATAACTTAAAAACAATCCTAATAATAGGCTGTAGGACTGCGTATAGGTTTATTTTCGTTTTGTTGCATTATTTAGGCTATTTTCAAATGCGTCAAGTGTACAAATAAAAACGAAAACATTAAGAAAACACAATCTATTGAGTCAGCATGATATAGCCGTTAAAAGGCTGCTCACGTCTTTTGCGCGCTCAAGTTCGATTTTAAATGTAGGCGCGCGACTTGCGCGCTCATAATGGCAACGCGATCGCCTCCCTCCACAGTCTTGTCGTCTTTGTTTTAAAATGCAGCCAGACAAAAGATTTATATTTCCTGGACATTTTGTCGACTAAAGCCAAAACAAGCAGCGTTCTAACTGAATGAATACAGCATCCCTTACCGAGCGTGAAGCAGCAGCGCAGCCAGCCACAGGTGCGGTTCCCGACTGTATTATGTGTGTGCGCTAAACTGTGGCGCAGTTACAAAAATAGCCTAAATTAAAGCATTTTAAAGTTGGGGACAAAACATAGGCTAATTATATTTAGAATACAGTAATAAATAACTGCTTATAAATGAATAATTATCAAGGAGTAAGTCATTGAAAAATTCCTACTATTGGTAAAAAAAAAAAAAAAAAAAAAAAAAAAAAAAAAAAAAATTGCAACTGGTCGACCAATAAGAATGTCAGTCGACCACGACGGCATCGACCGATTAGTCGACTAAACGACTAAAGTTGACAGCCCTAGATTTTAGGCTCTTGATATAGAAGTGATTAGTCATGTTTAGGGAATCTTTTGGTAAAGATTTTACGAGATCTTGCACCTCAGGTTAAAGGAAAACCGGGCTTTCCTTCCTCTCTTGTTAAACGTGCTGATGTACTCTAGGGACTGTATTTGAGGTCAGATAACTTTAGCTATGTATAAAGATCAAGTTAGAGCTCAATTTCTTCAGCTTTGCAGAAGAGAAAACGTACAGGAGCCAATGACAAATACAAGTACAAATACAACTGGACAAACACGACTCTCTGCACTGGCATCCATTGCCATAGGACATAGGACCTGCTTATCCTGACTGAGACCCCATAGTACGCTACTGTGTAGACCTCCAGGAAACAGAAAAACCCCAAAGCAAAGAACAGTTTATCATTGCTAGCTCCACCAAAGTACTGAAATCCTCTGCAGTCCAGTCTCACTGTAGTCTTAAACAGAATTTGCATCATGAGGTAATGATTGAGTTGATGACTTGCTGGCAAATTGTTAGACACACTCTATGTGAGGCTTTGGTGGTCTGTCTGAAGATTATTTTTCCCACTGTTTTCATGCCGAACGCCGATTGAAAGCATTACGAATGAAACCAATAGGAGAGAGGGAAAGTGGGAGGGGTAGACATAAAGAGAGTTGCAGCTTGTAGAAGTAGCAGGTAGTCATTATTGAACGCCATTACTTGGTGCTATAGACACAGTAATACTGTTTAATCAGT